TGCTTATGTTGAATTGAAAAAAGTTATGTTTTTTAATTATCTATAGGGAGGATATAAGATTTCTTATATTTTTTAAGTAGTATTTACTGAATAATTGTGTTTACAATTTTTCTATTAAAAATATATTAAACACGTGAACTTTTTAGTCCCTATAATTTTTTTTGTTCAGAAATCACTCATTATTTTATCCCAAGATTACCTATTAATTTACCAATTGAGTTACATTTTTTACATATTAAATATTATATAATTGAAATACTTCTTGTTTTATTTGTTCAATATGATACTTATATATTATATTAAAAAAACTAATATAGTAAATAAAAAAGTAATTTAAAATTAGAATAATAATTTTTTTTCTAATCTACATGTATAAATGTACAAATAACTATTGTCTATCACCTCAAATTTACACATAAAATTAACAAGCGTTTAATAACTCAGTTCGATTACATCGATAAGTATATTTTTAGAAGGTTTATATTTAGTTATATTAATTATATTATTTTTGTTTATTAGTTTCTTTTATATTTATTAGTACATGCCACAACTTAGTTACTATTCATATTATTTCTTATATTTAATATTTTTTTAAAACTTTATAATCTTGTTCTTTCACATGTTTGTTAACTGTAGATTTGTCAAAAAAGACATAATATAAAGTATAGAATTTTTTCGATCATCTGCCTCATTATATATCAAATATTTGTATATCCTATATTATATTATATATAATTACAATTTTTTAATTAATATTTAAAATAAATATTTACAATTCATAAATTCATTAATAATATTGTCGAGTCAACTTTTGTTCATAAAATTTTTAAAAATATATTATTAAGTCAACTTTTGTTCATAAAATTTTTAATAGTATATTATTTGTATATCCTATATTATATTATATTTAATTACAATTATTTAATTAATAATTTAGTTAAATATTTACAATTCATAAATTCATAATAATATTGTCGAGTCAACTTTTGTTCATAAAATTTTTAAAAATATATTATTTTCATAGATTTGCTTATGTTGAATTGAAAAAAGTTATGTTTTTAATTATATATAGGGAGGATATAAGATTTCTTATATTTTTTAAGTGGTATTTACTGAATAATTGTGTTTACAATTTTTCTATTAAAAATATATTAAACACGTGAACTTTTTAGTCCCTATAATTTTTTTTGTTCAGAAATCACTCATTATTTTATCCCAAAATTACCTATCAATTTACCAATTGAGTTACATTTTTTACATATTAAATATTATATAATTGAAATATTTCTTGTTTTATCTGTTCAATATGATACTTATATATTATATTAAAAAAACTAATATAGTAAATAAAAAAGTAACTTAAAATTAGAATAATAATTTTTTTTCTAATCTACATGTATAAATGTACAAATAATTATTGTCTATCACCTCAAATTTACACATAAAATTAACAAGCGTTTAACAACTCAGTTCGATTACATCGATAAGTATATTTTTAGAAGGTTTATATTTAGTTACATTAATTATATTATTTTTGTATATTAGTTTCTTTTATATTTATTAGTACATGCCACAACTTAGTTACTATTCATATTATTTCTTATATTTAATATTTTTTTAAAACTTTATAATCTTGTTCTTTCACATGTTCTTAACTGTAGATTTGTCAAAAAAGACATAATATAAAGTATAGAATTTTTTCGATCATCTGCCTCATTATATTTCAAATATTTGTATATCATATATTATATTATATATAATTACAATTTTTTAATTAATATTTAAAATAAATATTTACAATTCATAAATTCATTAATAATATTGTCGAGTCAACTTTTGTTCATAAAATTTTTAAAAATATATTATTTTCATTGATTTGCTTATGTTGAATTGAGAAAAGTTATGTTTTTTTAATTATATATAGGGAGGATATAAGATATGATGGCATTAGTATATTACCAATTTGCCATTAAAAACATGTGAAAGTAAGAGTTTTTTAGGTAGTTCATTTTTTAATTAAAAATATAAATAAAATATGATGTGTATTGGTGTATTATTAATTTGTCATTAAATTTATGTCAAAGTAAGGGTTTTTTAGGCATTATGAATTTTTACAAAAACACTCATCCTTTTAAAGTAGTATAGATTAAGGCAAAATTGCATATAAAAGCACTACTTTTCATGTTTTTGCATTTTAATCACGACATTTGCATATTAGCACTTAAGTACATGACCTTTCATCCCTTTGCAAGTCGAAGCATGTCTTTCATCTCTGGCACAAATAAAATGACGTGGCTTGCCGGAATACACACGTGGAATGTTCAAAAAAAGAAAAGAAAAATGAAATTCATATCGCCCATTCTGGTAATAACACATGGACTAAACATAAAAAATAAAAAAAAAACAAAATCCACGTCGTCTCTCCCTAAATCGGTTCAATCTCCCGTCACACACATGAACCATAATGTTTATCTTCAATTTCCGTGAAGATGGCGAAATTTCTATGAAAATTGTAAAATTTTTGTGAATCATATGCTCTTCAACTTCTGTAAACTTTCTCCATGACCCTGAATTAGCTCCCCAAAATTCCAATTCCTCTCGCCATACGAACCCTAATTGTGTTTCTAAAATTCCCAGTTTTTCTTCAAAATGTCGAGTGGATCTAGCAGTCGAACCACAACTCCTCAAACTAGAATTGGTGATTTTCATGTAGAATAAGGCCGATTTGTCTTGGATTTTCCGTATTGAAGTCTTGAATTTGTCGATTTTGTCTTTGAGATTTGAGATTGCCTTTACAGAGGATTTTTTTAGGTTTGATTCTTTCTTCAATTTGGGGATTTTTATTATTTCTCCTCGGAACGTGGATTTAAATTTTAGTTTTTTTATTTTTTGGTGCAGTGACGTGTCAAAAAGATAGTCCAAAGTGGATTTTTATTTTTCTTTTCTTTTTTTTTTAACCTTCCACATGTGTTTCCGGCAAGTCACGTCATTTTATTTGTGTCGGAATGAAAGGCATGCTTCGACTTGGTAAAGGATAAAAGGTCATGTACTTAAGTGCTAATATGCAAAGGTCGTGATTAAAATGCAAAACCATGAAAGGTGGTACTTTTATATGCAATTTTGCCTTTTATTAAATGCTTTTAAAAATTTTAAAAATAATTATAAAGATCGCGTATGCCTTTGGCTGAATGCAGTTTTTTTTTTGAAAAAAAAAAATTAAAATCTTAAAGATATTAACTAGAAAAAAAAAAA